TGGGGAATTCTGGGAGTTGAAGTCCACTCATCTTAAAATGGCCAAGTTTGGACAACACTGTAGTAGAGTATAAGAAGGAAGCCATTTCAGCTCACTCAGATGTGGTTAAAAACAACAATAGTAACATGTTAATCATATTTAGAAGCATCCTTATTTTCCAGCAAAGTGACCTATGTTCTATTATTCTTGTTTTGGCAGAAAATGTTTGGAACTAAACAGTTTCTTCCCCAGAACTCTGTTATGAGATGGCTTGCTACTCACGTGTGTGACCATGTCTTACTTGACGATATTTGCGGCAACTTGTTTTTTCTCGTGTCCGGATTTAATGAGAAAAACCTAAACATGGTAAGAATGTGAATGAAAGAGCCTAAACATGTAAACTCTGTTTTGAAATGAAATGAATAAAGCTGTAAATGTAAACAAACAGCATTTATGTTATCAGGCAAATACTCTTCTCTAAGCTAATATCTCAGCTATTTGGCAATGAAAGACTAAGAATCAGGGCTAGCTTAAGAATGGCAAGATGGTATCTCAGGTGCTAAAGATTCCCTCAGGTGAAGTTGAACTGTTCTTTTTTTTTCCCCCCCCTTCAGTTGCCTAAATTAGCCTAGTTAATCTCAGTTAATCCAAGAACTGGTCAGGACCAGCCCTTCTTAGCCCTTTTGAGATTAGCCAAGGTCAATTACATTCAGACACCATAATGTCCAAATGTGAAGTCCTGATGCACTTTTTTCCTTCAGACCAACTTTTCAAAATTGTTACCCTTGGTTACAGCTAATCATTTCACTATTGGTTTCAGAGCCGAGTAGATGTATATTCAGCGCATTGCCCAGCTGGAACATCTGTCCAGAATATGATTCACTGGAGTCAGGTAGAGTCGAAATCCCCAGGCTGAGAAATGCTTGCTGCTGTGGTGCTTAGGTTATTTGCTTGCATTTATTGCTCATGACTCCAATACTTGCTTTCAACTCTGTTGCAATTTGGCACGTGCTTTTCTAGGAATAAGTCCAACTGAACTCTGTAGGTCTTACTTCTAAGGAAATTCTCCCCAGCAGGATGGGGCTGTTCGGATTACTCAGTGCAATTATTTGCAGCTAAATCCTGGATACGTACCAGCCTGGGAAGACTCTGGAAAATATACAGAGCTATCTATTTTTCTCAAGGATTGGGTGGGTAAACAAGTGTTACAGGAAAAATGCAACATCTGATTATTTTTCTTTCCCTACACATAATAAATGCCTCTGAGCAGAAAGGCAGTGTATAGGATGGATGGATGGATGGATGGATGGATGGATGGACGAACAACACGAATGAACAAATGAATAAATAAATGAATATTTTTTCGTGAAAGATACACACTCTAAATGTGACTTAACTCTATTTTCAGGCTGTAAAGTCTGGGGAACTCAAAGCATTTGACTGGGGAAGCAGAAAAGAAAATATGGTTCACTATAACCAGGTAAGAATTTCCAAAGGGATGGACATATTAGACTGCTGTATTGATTACTAATGTGTAATGCTTTTTTTTCCTTTGCAAATACATAACTTTTCTTATAAATGGCCACATCCTGTGATTAGGTGTCCCCTGCTTCCCCATTTATAATTGTGCTTTCAGGGCAAAAATTCTCCATTTGTATCTACTTAGAGACCTAATCATCCATGGAAGCCTGTTTCACATAAAAGTAGGTATGTGGCTAATAAGGGAGAAGTCTTCTTAAGTGTGGAATCTGATTGTAATGGTTGATTCCCAAACTGATGAAGATTCAGAAAACCATCCTATATGTAGCCAGTTGCAAGCTGATCCATTATCATTATGAAAAGACACCCCCCCCCTTGTTGGATAACAGGAAGAAAATAAAAATGTACAAGGGGATAAATTAGTTCTACATTAGAAATTGTTCAGTTGTTGGCATTCTCATAACCTCTTCTGTTTCCTCTGAATAAATCTTGTTAAAGAGAACTTTTGCTTAAAGAGAATCACTTACAGTTTTGGGCAACCAAAGAGAGTGACATTCATCTGTGGAAGGCATTTCCCAGAAGCCATGCCTAGCATCCAAACTAATGACTTTTGGTACCAGCTAAGACTTTCTCTTAGCCTAGGCATTCTGTATCTAGAATTATTTTTTTCTGTTTGCCCAAATTTTACTAGGGTACTGGCACATATATGGATTTTTCCTGTAGTTTGTATTAAGAAATGGAATTATTTTTGTTGTTTTATATTGTATACGTGTGTGGTTTATTGTTTTTGTATTTTTACTGTTTTAATGTTTTATATAACTTGGAAATCAGCCCCCAAAACTTCAGTTATTGGGCAGATGTAAGTTTAGTAAACAAATATATAAGGACCATTGTGGCCGTATTTTTGTATGTTATATAGAATTTGTCCCTCTGTCTTTTGAGGGCTGGGGAAAAATGGGAATCATTTGTCAAAAATTCTAGTTTCCCTGAGATGATTTGTTGGGCAAGTCTGGGGAACCTCTGGCTTTCCAGATGTTGCCAAACTACAACTCCAGCCAGTTTGCTCAGTGGTCACATCAGGATGAGAATCTCTTTGGATGAAGAAGTCTTTGCAAACTGTTCTTTAACTTTATTTTCCTTTCTTCTTAGCCAACACCGCCTTTCTACAAAGTAAAAGAGATGCTTGTTCCAACAGCTATTTGGACGGGTGGCCATGACTGTCTCGCAGACCCAAAGGATGTTGCCCTCTTACTGACTCAGATCCCAAACTTAATATACCACAAGCACATCCCAGATTGGGAACATCTGGATTTCCTCTGGGGCCTTGATGCCCCACAACGCATGTTTAAAGATATGATTCAGTTGATGCAGAAACTTCAGTAGGCCCATTAATTACTTGGAATTGTAGTCCCAAAACACCAGCACAATTGTGAAAAGGAAGTCCAGTTTTTTGAATTCATACAGTATTAATCTGAACATATGCGTCTTGCAACACGTCAAGAAATGGAAATTTTGCACTAGTTATAAGTATTTAAATCCATGCAGCTTTAATGGAGAGGCAGAAATTAGGTCCTGAATGAAAACAAATGAGATGGTCTTTGAAATGAGGGAAAAGGAAGGGTGGGAGGATGACACTTTATTGCACCTTGCTAACATCCATGACACAGGCTAGGAAAGCTATTTTGGTTTTTAAAAGTCAGGGTTTGGGGGTTTTTGTTTTGTTTTGTTGGAGCAGATTCCTTCCAAGTGCACTTAAATGTTGATAAATTTGCATAGTTTGGATTTGGAATCATAACAGGATAATCCATGATTGTAATTAGTAATGATTTAAATTTAACGTCTTTCAAATCTACATTTCCTGCTCCTTTCAGAGCACATTCTTTGTTTGCTTAAAATGTGAAAGAAGTGTTTGGACAGCAGTGTCTTGGTTCTCTAAACACAAAAGGTCCTGGAACTTTTACAAAACCGATTCCCTGGCTTAAAATCCTCCTGTGGTCCAGGAATCTTGCAACCCATGCTTAAAGATGCACCTCTCAGTAATACTGGGAAAACACGTTTTCACTTGTTTCAGTAAAGAGAGCCTTGCAGGGCAGGCTTCTGAGTTATATTCAGAATTTTGGTAACAGATGCATGCTTTATGTTTATGGGGCCTTTGGAAGACCTGGGTGTTTTAGAGCAGTGTTGTCCAAACTTGGCCACTTTAAGATGAGTGGACTTCAACTCCCAGAATTCC